TATAAATTTTAGGTGAAAACGCTTCAGATAATACTGAAGCTGCTGAAGTACTTGCAGACGAATTTATTAAATTCACTTCACCAAGTTATCTTCAGAATAAATTTACGATACTGATGAAACTGGTCTTTTCTGGCAATATGTACCACGAAATACCTTGGTAACCTATACAGAAGAGGCTCCAACTGGTGTCAAAGATTATTAAGCTAGACTTACAATTTTAGCATGTGCAAATGTAGTAGGAATGCACAAGTTAAACTTTTTGCAATCGGAAAAAATACACAACCTTGAGCATTTAAAGGAGTAAAGATTTTCCCGTTATATATTGTGCAAATAAAAGAGAACGTATGACACAAGCGTTAATCTATGATTGGTTTGAAAATCATTTCATACCCGAGGCTTGGCAAAATTTGAATTCCACTGGTTTAAATGATGATGCAAAAATTGTCTTGATTGTACATAAGCATTCGGCTAATATTTCACTTAAAGTTTTAATGAAAGATATTGTATACATGTTATTCTTTCCTCCAAACTGTATGCCCATCTTTCAGCTTATGGATATCGGAATAATGCGCACACCGAAATGCAAATATAAAGTAGCATTTTTAAAATCCATGTTAAATTTTTGGATAATGGCAACACTATTCAAGAATATTTTAAATATTTTGGCATAAAATCTGCCGTGTGGAGCATCGCAAGCTTGTGGGCGATGTACCTCCAGATACTTTAAAAAATGCTTGGCATAATTTATAGCCAGCTAGTGATAGCGGCGAATTTGAAGGCTTTCGGATATCACAAACCACGTGTGAAATTTTCCGATTAATGGATTTTGTAAAGAAATCTGGAGAAGCGGTAATAAATGAAGATGATATAACAGAAGTTTTTGACTGCGATGACAATGCTCCAATCATCAATCAATTAACGGACAGAGAAATCTGTAGTATGTTTCTAGATCTCGAAAATACTGCTACCGATAGTGAAGAAACTGGTAGCGAGTTTATTGAAAACGAAAAAATTTCAATTGACAAGTTAGTTGGAATTCTCGACTCAGCAAATACAGACAGGATTTGAACAGTGGAACTCTATAACTGAACAAGAAATTATGTCTGTATGTAAAATTAAATAGAAAATATTAGCAAAAACAACAAAGCAACTTAAACAATTTACATTCAAAGAAATGTTTAATAAAGTAAACAAATAAACATTGGGCCTTTCTTTTTTTTCTTTTCTTTTCTTTCTTTTTTTTTTTTTTTTTTTTTTGTAAATTTTGATACCCTTTAGATTATAAATGCTTCACCATTTCATATTTTTAATTTTATAATTTTTGCATGCCATCTTACTAGATTTAAACTGATAATCTAATATCCGGAAAAATTCCAAATCCAGAATCGCCAAAGTCCTGACGAGTTCTATCTTGGACTTTGTACTGTATAACATACAGCGTATTACAAACCAATGCAAAAATACATATATTATAGAATGAAACAGAAATAAAAGGCATTCTTATACACTGTGTTTTAACATAATGTGCAACTTTTTAAATACACTATTTTCAAGTTTTATAACAAAACTACATTTAATTAAGAAGTTAATCATGGAGAATCATTTATGACCACACCAAATAATGAATGAGTCTACCCTTCTTTCAGAGACACATATCTGTAAGTTTTTCTGCATTTTCACATATGAACCTCAACATGCATCTGTTGATAATACTAATTTATGTAAATTATATCATTTCCTAGCAAATCCTGAAAGCTGACGACTGATAGCCTTTGAATTTGCTTTAACTCTTTCACAACCAATCTGCCTGACACGGCCCTACATTGAAACAACTGGAACCGCCTGAAAACGGCCGATATTGTAATATTGTTTTCTTCCCCCTCCTAAGGTATGCAGTAGCAGGTGCAGTTTCCCCAAATGCATTCTATCAATTTACTGCAGACAGCTTGTCCTAAGAGGTTTCTTATCTTTTGCTTGCTCGTGACATTTCAATGTTGATTCTTTTTGTGGTACAGTGTGCTTTTAAGCTTTAAACAGCAATGAAATTGAAGTTTAAAAATTTAAGGATTATATTAATTTTTAATCAATTTATTCCTTCCTATAAAAATAACAGAAATAAACCAAATCTAAGTCGTGATCATAACAAAACCAGAAACGCTTGTTGGTCTGACCTTCAGAATAGTTTTATAAAGAACGGGGTCAAAGGCTAATGGAATCTTTTTGTTAGAAAGTACAAAGGATGTAATCTTCACACCTATTTTCTGCGTTAATGGACGGGAAGGAAATTGGTATGAAACTGGAAAAGTATTTCGGGTGGTTTGGTATTTTGAGGATACAGTTTAGAGAAGGGTCTGGATTTCGAAGAGTTAAGTGGCATTAGTAAACCAGTATGAAGATAAACATAGATTACTTTACTGTGTATGACATCTTTCTCATTCTGCAGAAAAATTAACAAAATTATCACGAGAATAACTGAAACCACAATCATGGCATCTGGAGAAATTTTTCTACAGTTTGCTAACTGTTTGAACGCATTCTAATTTTACATGCACTAATAAGTTGTGAATAAAAAAGAAGTGGGATACATTAATGAAATACCTGTATAATTCACATACAGTGTAACAAGAAGACTAATGCTAAATAACTGTTGAGATTTTAAAGTGTTTTAAAACCTCAATTTTGATTGCAATTTCACATATATCCCTCTTAAATAAAAAATTTTGCAAATATAGACGTTTATAGGAAAATCAGTGCATGTGGTAAAGAAAAAAATTAATGTAATGCCATCTGTTGAGAAAAATGGTAATGAAATGTGAAAAAGCTATATTACAAATTTGAAAATGTTTGGAAGAAGTGGACTGAACTTTACATCATTAACTAAAGATGGTAAATTTTTATTAATATGAAAGGTATTTTATCCACCGAAGAAGCTTTGTGTATAACTTTCACAGGATGAAAGTTAAGTTTGTGATTACGTGACCGAATACAATTTACTGACAAAGATTTCTTTATTTTTCCTTTTCAGTAGTAAGATTTGTGTCCTTTGATGCAAAATTTTAATGCTTTCTTTAGTTATGCAGTCTGTATATATATCCAACCACAATAATATTAAATGCAATAAATTTATCAAAAAACAATCAAGACCAGAAAATAATTAAAAATCTGAAAGAAGCAAATAATGATTTTTATTGACATATCAGAAAATTTATCTTGTGGAGAAAGCAAGCCATTTTTTAAGTAATAGAAAGTCAAAATGGAATGAGAAGATTATTGAGGTTATTTCTAATAGGAAATGTCTTTTCTGATCGTAGGAGGAAAAAATTTAAAGGCTCTGTCAATAACTATGGCAGAAAATCAATTGATTTCAATGACAGCTGATTTTAAATAATTAAATTACTAAAAAAGAAAAGATTCTGAAGACCAAACTTTGAAAGCATAATATAGGTCAGAATAAAGATGTTTTTGCTTACTTATTTGTTCAGAAGGTTGACATGATTAACAAGGGGAAGCTAGTAATTAGAAAAAGGTTTACAGTAAACAGTAGTGCAGAAGCAACTTTCAACCGTTTGATACATTGCTGCATTTTGAGGGCAGAAGCTTGGAGCTCTTCAGTCAGAAATACATCCCTATTGTGCTACAACATCTTAATTGCTAAGTTTCTGATCCTCTGACCCAGCTCTCTGTTTCATCAAGATTTTCTGCGGGGTCAATAATTTCAGACAATTCTAGTTATCCAAAATGATGGGATGGCCAATGTATGACAACAACCAAAAGAAGCATTTTCCTGAAGTTATGTATATGTTTTGATGTATGATAAGTAACGTAAATGTATATGTTCTGATTGATATTACTTCACAGGTGACTCCGCAATAATTTTCACATATCAAAATGAATTCCCGTACGAGTATTTTCTGCAAATAATTTCTGCACATCACAGTATTTTTTACTGAAAGTTATAAAATTACACATTTTGATACTTTAACTAAAAGAAAAAGATTACCATAATTACTAGGTATCAAGCCAATTTTTCCTAGACAAGATGCTTTCCACCAATTGACATTGTATACGGAAACTGTTGTTTACAGTTTGAAAGTTGGAAATTACAGAGTTGATAGATTCTAATTTTCGGAACTTTGGAAAGCATTTAAAACCTAGTACAATTAGCAACATGAAAATCAGATTATTATTTTTTAAATGGATTGAAAGCATAGGCAGTGATTTAATAGCGGTTTTACATTTCAAGAGCTGAAACAGCATTTTAGGTCTTTATTTATCAGCCTCACGATTTTTAGTGATGTACATATTTTTGTCAAATAACAGTGACTGACCACCCTAGTTTTGGAAATAATTATGTTTGGATTCATATACGGTCTTTTTCCTTTGGTTAAGATTAGAAAAGAATAATTTGTTATTTAAAGTTAATTAACATTTTGAATAATTAAATGGCAAAATAAACTCAGTCGTACTGAAATTTTGCTAAATTTCAAAACTTTTTTAACAGAAGCAATAATTTTAGGAGAAGATTTACAAGTTTGTGGGGAGGATAAGTAATGTTTTAATGTTTGCTTGACCCTCCAAGAGACTGAGATATATAAACTATGGAAATAGTATTAAACTTCTGAGAGGCATGTCTTTTTGGAGCATCTAAATATTATCTATTAACTAATTTTTTTACAATTACTAATTTTAGTCTCTATTTTCATAAACTTCCAGTTATTAAGAAGAAATTTACATCATTAAAAAACTGCGAAAATAAAATATTGAATGTCTCATGACAAGATAAGGGCAGACATGCCACTCTGGGGGTTAAATACTGGAAGAATCTCAAATTAGGTGGGGCTAGATGACTGCGATATGAGTTTTTCAAATTTAGAAGCAAGAACTTTTTTATGGCAATGAGAAGCAGTTTTAATCGTTGGCTCAGATATATAATTAACAAATGAAAAATTAGGCATACAATTTTGAGACTTTAACTAAAAGAAAAAGATTACCGTAATTACTAGGTATCAAGCCAATTTTTCCTCGACAAGATGCTTTCCACCAATTGACATCACTTTTCACATCTAATATATAAAGATTATCCCCTTCTTCAAAAGATAATTCATCAGGCTAAAATCAAATAAAATATAAAAGCTTAAAAATTACTTAAGATTCAAAAGGTAATTCATTAGCCGGAAAAATTTTAAAAAAAAATAAAAATACAAAATCACATACGAAAATATATATTTTATTAAAACAACTCTAGATAATATATAGAAGATTCATAAAGCAAGTTGCAATGATCATCAATACCTGGCTGAATTGCACAACAGAAATGACAGATGCATGGAACATCTATACCTTCTTACAAAAAAAATGTTATTGAAGTATCCGTCAGAAATGTACAACAGCATGAGTTGAAAATTGCATATTAATTGGAAACTCCTGAGCTGTAATATGAGAAATTAGGACTTCTGAGCACAAAAGGTCTCTTAATTCTAAAATTACAGAGGTATATGAGATAAATGTAATATAATACCCAGCTATAGTCAAAACGGTACAGACGTTTGAAAATGACTGCATTAACAATTCTGATGTCAGTTTGCAAGGAAGGACATCAATATTCATCACAGATTATGAAATAACCTCTTAAATCATCGAGTGGCAATTTATGATGCTAGATAAAAGCTGGCCTAGACACATAATTTTTTGTCAGTGATAAACAGATGCAAACAGTGGCTCTGTAACCAAAAAGCAGATTTCCATTACATTGAACATTTAATAGAATGTTCAGTGTTCAGACAAAAAAGATTGGTGATTGTGCTATATCATACACATATTGTAGAGCATTCCTTAATAAAGGTGGTTTTTTTTTTTTTTTTTTTTTTTTTTTTTTTTATTTTACCTACAAAAATTAACTTACTTTTTGAATCTCTCTCATAATTACTTTAAAAGAGCACTGAAGTGATCAATACACCTATTAAAAATTATTCTGTCAATATGTCATAAAAGATTAAACATTTTTTTATTCTTATTAATTTCAACTCAAATTTTAGAGTGGTAGCCAACATATTACATATTCTGAGATACAGTAAGACGCGGGGGATACGTTCCATCAAAGTAGAGCGTAATGCGAAACAGCGCTAAACGAGGCTATCTTTACATGTAAATATTGGGGTTAGGGGAAGATGGCTAGGAAATTGGTTAGGTATTAAATTTAAAAAGTATGTTTTTTTAATAAAAATAAAACCAAACATTTATTTCTTAAAGCCCAAATTAATACCACATTATTATTTCTTGCAAAAATAAAAACAAAATATAAATAACAAAACGAATATTCTTAAAAAAAAACAAATAAAATTCTAAGTCATATTTAGTTAGCCTTCCGCGTTTTCAGTGTTCTGCCTTTTTTGTGACAAAAGCATCTAATGTTGTTTGCCTTTTTCTTTTGCGTTGTTCTCTTAAAAGTTCTTCATAAACGGATAGAGCATCTCTAACACCACGCCTTACTTTTGAGCTCCTGTCAAAATTCGGATCATTTTCAATGAATTGATCCATTATTTCAGTTATGGTAGACAAACTCCTTTTTACAAACGCCATCGAAAGTTCTTTTTGCTCTTCTTCTGAATCACTGCTGTCAACATTTTTGTTTTCTTCTTGTTCAGTTAATTCCTTGAGCTCATCATTAGAAAGACTAGCCGCTGCTTCTTGAATTATTTCTTCGACATCTTCCACATTTACCCCTTCAAAATATGTCTGTACAATACCGCACCAAACAAGAAATACAAGTACACTCTTTCGGATATGTATTTGAAACCTATCGCTGCATAATATTTCGGGGAATCCCCGTATGCTGCGAGCGATTTCGTGGAATCCCGGGTTGAAATAAAAGAGCGCTAAACCGAAACAGCGCTAAACGAAACAGCGTTAAGCGGGGTCTTACTGTATTGTTAACATTTTTACAGAATAAAATCAATAAAATATCTAGTTTTAACAAAAGTTTCCCAAAACTGCAAATATTGTCTGCTCAAACAGAATCATATTGCCCCATTTAATCATATTTTGCCAAACGATTTTTGGCATTTGAAAGAAAGAGACTTAGTTTAGAACACTGTGCTATGAAATTTGTAAAAAATATCATTATCATTAAGTAAAAGGTGTCTGAAAAGAAACTATCATGCTACCAGATTAGAACCATCTTTTAGTTGCAGTTCTGTTGCAAAATTTCAGCTACAAAATGTCAATAAATCATGTGTACAGGTTTAGGTGCTAATGTTGTATCATATGACACTGTGAAAGTTTGGTACTGAACGTTCAGAAACAAGGACTATGACATTCAAGAAGCAGAGCGCTCTGGCCATCCTACTGAGGTTGATGAGTCCCGACTGTGAGAAACTGTCGAAGAAGATCAGTATGTAACCCTTGACAGCTTGCTAAGGAGTTAGATGTTAGTGCCATGTTCATTAGTTGTGCTATGTATCGCATAAACTTGACTTACAAGTTCAATCGCTGGGTGCCACATGAGCTGACTCCAGGAGATAAGGACACATGTGTTCAGGCCAGCATTAATCTGCTTTAATATCAATGCAAGGACAAATTTCTGAATCAGATCATCACTTGTGATGAAAAGTGGATTTATTTCAAAAGCACAGGCCGAACAGGGAGTTGGTCTGCTCCTGGTGCCCATCGACAGCATCGTAATTTCTTGTTTAGTTATAAAGTTCCGCTGTTCAAGTTCTATAATTGCTGTGTCGAGAATACCGACTAATTTGTCAATCGAAATTTTTTTGTTTTCAATAACTCTGTCACTTTCTTCACTACCGGAAACGAATTATAATGACGAGGAACTTGTTTTAAATCATATCAAAGATGGAGTACATCGAGATGAAATACTACATTTAGTAAGAAATTATAAGCCAAATAAAATAAAAACATCTGCCCTGAAGATAAGGATAGTGTTGACAGATCAACTTCTAATTCATTGCGCGCCGCGGCGTTCCCCCCGCCGAGCAGCGTGAAATTGATAAACAGATTTCAGATTTCAAAACATACTTTCGGTTTAGATCCTTTACATATTAGCAAATATATATCGGAAATTCTATTTGATATAATCGAAAGTTCAAGCTTACTTTTATAAAATTGCTCTAACAGTCTGCGAAAAATAATAAGCCGGATCCAATTAGAGGATTAAGGAACAACGCAATCTGCAACATTAACTGATTTAGATAATTTTAGCTTAGCTTATACCGTCTGTTATACATTAAACGCGCATGCGTAAACATTTTATGCGCACGCGCACACACATATTAGCAGCCGTAAAGGTCTTACGCAAACACGTAAACGCCTATGCGTCAATGCAGAAAGTTTGCTTGAGGTCCGGATTATAGATCATTCCAAATTATGGGTGTCCGAATTAACGACTTTTGACTGTAATGGCATTCAGTTAATTTTAAAGCCATAAATAGAGGCTGCACATTAAACAGCAGTAAAATATATGTTTTTCATTTTCAATGTTTAATGTGAATCGAAATATGGTGATGAAAAATAGTATTTTCTGCGGAGAAGATCCTTTTTCCAACTGAGACATCACATTTACAGTGACTGAACACAAGAAAAGGTAATAAAGTTTTTTTCCTTAATTTTAAACTTGATTAATAACAGTGATGTCTGTCAATGCTGACACTTTAATAAACAGCATTTTATTAATTACATAGTGCAAATTATCTGACGTCTGCCCCTAGCATGTGCTCTCCTAAAGTAAAACAAATGAAAGAAGAACTACTTACTCATGATTTTCAAAACAGAAGTACTTGAATTTTGTTTATTTTCTGAAGATGCATTATGTTGAATGAAAGCATGATAATATTTTAAGTCGAATAGTAATAGATGTATAATAATTTCAGTTTAAAGATATATTGGAAGTTTTATGTCCTTGAATCAAATGTGTATTTTAATTTTATGAAAGAATGTTATTGAATTTAACATTTTGAGTGTTCTTAAGGTATTGGAACAAATTTGTTACTTGATTAGTATTCAGTTACAGTTAGTGATAGTATATTAAAACTAAAAAATAATAGAACATGGATACATTAAAAAAGAAACATGCTCCTTTACAAAAACATGTAATATTCTGAAACCGAAACTAGAAAACATTCTTCCAATAAAGATGAAATTTCTGATTTGCATGCTAAAATCAAAAGCATCATGAGTGAATTAAAGGTTTGAGATAACAGTAAAATAGATATGTCAGTAGGATCATGATAAATGTGACGAGTCCATTATTGCAAAACTGATGGAAAAAATGAGAAATATTCTGATGAATTCATCACAATTCAAAGAAAAGTTAGTGAATTATTAAATGTAAACAAAGTTCTGGATGATGCAGTTTTCAGTAATTCTAATGTCAGTAGTTACTCTTAAGTCAAACGGTATATCAGGGTTCGTACACATTTCTGCACATGAAAATTAAGTACTTTCAAGGACCATGAAAAAAATTAAGGACCTACCAGCAAATGGGAACTGAATAAATTTAATTAATATTATCTATGCCTGAATTTCACTTTTGTGATACCATACTAAAAAAATAAAATAGATTTCTAAGTGGTCTGTATTATTTTTAAACATGAATTAACATAATTATTAATAAGTTTGAGAATAAAATAAACTTTATGCAATTTATCAAGTAGCATTTAATATTTTACACTTATAACAGATGGACATATTTGAAAGATAAGTGACATTTACATTTTACTCACTGTTAGCTTTATGTTGATTTTTTTAAATGTCTCATTTTGTCACATACTTGGTCAGTCTAGAGGTTGAGCAAATAGCAAGTAGATTTTATGTCAAACGGCATAGGTTAAAATGAGAAGTAAGATCATAATCAGCATGATTCAGAACAGAAGACTGAATGTTGTTATTACTGCTGCTTGTCTAGAGAGAGACTTGCTCACAGAACAAACCTGAAAGGCCTGATGTAGGCAGGTATCCTGATGTAGGTTCGCAAGTGTTGAAAGTTAGTCGGGCTCTGTTTGATGCAGTTAGTGTCATAGCTTCATGTAGAGTTTCAGGGGTTGAAACCCAGTTAATATACTTCAAGGTTCCAATAAGCCATTAAAGCACCAGAGGTG